GGAGCATGATATACATGCAATAATTATTAGATCTGTCCGGGGAGGAGTCCCCTTCTCGTACAGGTTAGGAATACAGTAGTGTATCATCTATCTTTGTATACTTTATGCATTTTTATTCCTTAAAAATTTTGATAACACGTACCGCATTGTTCTCCGTGTACAATAAGCGTATGTTGTTTTGCGTATCAATCTATAATCGATCTATTATCGATGATTGATACGCATTATAACATCCACACAGTGTATTCGGAGAACTGCTAGTAGGTGCTGCCGAAATTTCCAAGAAATAAAAACGCTTAAAGTATATAAAGATAGTTGTAGACACTACTATATTCCTAATGAGATAGGTCCATTTCCTATGACAGCCGTTAAATTGTCTTATTTCAAATATGAGCGTTAGATTTTACTCCCCTATGACAGCCGTTAAATTGTCTTATTTCAAATATGAGCGTTAGATTTTACTCCCACATAAATTATGTTCTGGTAATTTTCCCTCCGAGATTATTATAATTAAAATTTCCTTGATGTCGTGAAGAAAGTTAAACCTTTAAAGACGATGCGTTACTAATAAAAATTCACATTATCTAATTATGCTTAATATCATACAGATCTATGAGGATAGTTCCCGACAAATCATGGATCGATATTCCTCGTATTGATAGATGGAGGGATAGTCGATATAAAGATGGAATAAATCAATTCATACAGTACGCCTTGGCAGACCCACGGAAGTTAAATAGTAATATCGTGTATTGTCCCTGCTGTTGGTGTAAAAATAGGGCGTTGGTAGATAAAAGTGATTTACAGAAACACTTAATATCAGGATTCCATGAGGAGTACAAATATTAGACGTTTCATGGGGAAGGATGTCTTGAAGAAATGGAACTGATGGCGGATACCGGTACTTCCGGTGGGAGAATAGATGATACGAGAATAGATGATACACATACGATGCTCACGGATATGTTAACAGTTCCTAATATAGATCAATCTGATTATGCCGAGGATGCTGATGAGTCAGGAAATGCTGGAGGCATGACTGATCATGAGGAGCTGGCGTAGATAATGAAATTAATAGACGATAATGAAAATGATCTGTACGAGGGTTGCACCGAGTTCACCAGGTTATCATTTATGCTGCGTCTTTTGCGTATAAAGTCTCTTAGTGGAATGGCAGATAAATATTTTAATATGTTGCTTGTGTTGCTGAGAAAAGTCATTCCAAATGGTAAAGAGAGCATACCAGAAAATTATGATAACGCAAAGAAGATTGTTTCCGTTATAGGACTTGATTACAATAAAATCGATGCATGCCCTAATGATTGTATCCTCTACTATAAAGATAAAAAAGATCTTCAGGAGTGTCCAATTTGTGGAGTATCACGGTGGGTACAACGCAAAAATTATTCAACACGTAGGACAGCAAGGTCTATGTTTAAGCAAAAGAAGATTCCAGCAAAGGTCCTGCGTCATTTTCCCTTAATACCAAGGCTAAAATGGTTGTATATGAATAAAGACACTGCTAAGCAAATGAGGTGGCACATGGAGGAACGTATTGATGATGGTAAAATCAGACATCCGGCCGATGCAGAGGCATGGAAGCATGTGGATAGAACTTTTCCTTCGTTTTGCAAATGAGTGCAGGAATGTTAGACTAGGTTTGTCTAGCGACGGATTCAATCCATTTAGGATAATGAGTTCTGGTTGGTCTACATGGCCTATTGTATTAACACCTTACAACTTACCGCCTTGGCTTTGCATGAAACAACCGTATATGATACTTTCATTATTGATACCGGGCAAGCATGCACTAGGAAATGACATAGATGTGTTTTTAGAACCGCTAATTGATGAGTTAAAACAACTCTGGACTGAAGGGATTATGACATATGATACTCATGCAAAGCAGTCTTTCAGACTACGTGCTATTTTACTATGGACAATTAATTATTTCAGAAATAATGTGTGAAATGGAGATGCTCTTTCCTCCATCTTTTTTCACAATAATGGTTCATCTTACACAACATCTCGCGGAGGAGGCTGCAATAGCAGGACCAGTCCGTTATCGTTGGATGTATCCAATAGAGAGGTTAGTATTTAGATACTTTTAATCGTTACCTATCAATATTTATATCTATTAAATATCAATATCTTTACATATATATCTGATTAATTATCATTTTTAGATATTTGGGTTCAATGAAGAGCCAATTGCGTAATAGAGCTCGACCAGAAGGTTCAATAGCTGAAAGTTACGTGAGAACCGAGTGTCTCTTATTTGCCTCTCGTTATATGAGAGGGGAACAAACAGAAGTTCAAGCACCTATTGATAATAAGGATAACACAGTTCTCTATCCTCGCGGGCTGAACAAAAATTATTCTAACATATTGCTAGATCAAGCGCATGCATATGTTAAAATATCTAAAAAGAGTTTTGAATACCATTTAATCTTTAATATTTATTTTGACAATAATAAATAAATTTATTGCATTAATAGGCAACATCAGGAAAAACTTAAGAATAAAGTTACCGGTAGTACAGCTGTACATGACATTAAAGAAAGACATATGAAGGAATTCCCTGCTTGGTTGAAGAATGAAGTAAGTATTATTAAATTTAGCAATATTTGTATGTTTTTTGATAAAAAAACTTTGAAATTATTGATTTAATAGTTTTCTTATTTTTTATATTTAGATCCAGGAACAACTTGTCCTTAATAATCAAATATCAGAAGAAGTGAAGGTTCATGCGAAGCGGCCTTACTATGCTGTATGTCAATATGGTGGGTATCGTGTTAACGGTTATAAATTTCACACAATGGAGGTTGATGATACGAAGGTCACCCAGAATAGTGGTGTCATGGCTACATTCTCACAAGAATGTTTCTCAAACAGAAGAGATCAGAATCCTGTTGAAAATAATATAACATATTATGGAATATTGGAAGATGTGGTGGAGATATTCTACGGCTATGGTGGTCCAAATGAACATAAATACATGATGTTCATGATTCGTTGGTGTTTTGCAAAGACTCAAAAGGATCCCTTTGGATTTACAATTGTCAATCTCGATAAAGAAATTGATAGTGATGAAAAATTCATGTTTGCATCTCAGGTGGGACAATGTTTCTATGTGAAAGATCCTGCGGTTAAAGACGAGTGGGTTGTCCTGAACAAGGATTCTAGGGCTTATATTCAACCTTCTATCAATGAAGATGATGATGAGAGCTATATAAACAACTTCAATGAGCCAAATGCAGCGATCGATGAATTCTCGTACCCTCAAAACATAGTGTTTGATACGGATGCTCCAACAACTCGGACAGACATTCCAAATATTGTCACAGACATTAATAGGAGCTAAACAACAATTATTTGTAATCGGGTCTTCATGTAACTTTTTTTAGTTTGCAAATTGTAAAATGAAAACTTTAATATCACTATGATGTATCTCAATTACCTTTTGGACGATATAAATATGTAATATCTTATTTTGTATATTTAGCTTGCAGATGCCTACAAACTTGATGTGAAAGGAAAATTTTAGTAACTCAACAATACATATTGTTTTTATTTTCGCCAAGCCAAATTGCATCTATAATATATTAATTTGTATGTTTATTCAACTTGCAGATGTCTAAAAACATTAACAAGAGGTTATTCAAAGCTAACCCCAGTCAAGACCAATCCACTGAGGAAGAGCCACCGAGTTCAGGAGAGATGTCAGGTATATCTTAGTTTAACTTAAGTATTTTTATTCATGATATATGCACAATGATAATTTATTTCTTTTATTTTTTTAGATGAGGGTGAGGAAGAGCCGACTACCGTACCATTATATGCAGATCCTCCAGTGATACTTCAAGCATATATTCCCGGGATTGAGCGTGGGCCTTTACTAGCATGTGCAGAGGGGTACAGACTCAAGCATACAGAAAAATACATGCTTGCGAAAAAACGATTGGATGAATAGGGCCCACAGATTAATGAGATTTTATCTGATGCAAAAAATGAAATCAGACAAAGATTTGGTGAGATTGATCAAAAATTTTTATTCTGGGTCTATTATTTAGTGATGGGTGCCATGATTCTGTGTATTACTTGGATGATTAATCTTAGAACAACTCAGCTGAATTAATGCTTGCAAGTGGCGTTGAGATTAAACATATATCTAATATTTGAAAAAGTCTATAACTTTTGAACTTTTTTCCTTTGCATTTATATTCTGATTAAATAGAAGGTAATGAAATTCTAACTTAGTTAAGGGTGCTATCAAGACAAGTTCTAACCCTTTTAGCTTGTAAAACATCAATAATAAAACCCCAGTCTAAAATATCATATGCCTTGGTAAAGTCCAGCTTAAACAAAGACCTTTCATCGACTAATCAAAAGTTTGAATTATAGTCACAGAAAGCAACTTCCATATTCAAAACGAATGAACAAATAAGATAGAAAATTTTCCCTAGGAGCCTTTCACCTGCATTTTTTTTCTATATATATGTTGGCTGTCTACATAATTTCATTTTTTTCCTTAATATTGTATCTATATCTAATAAAAGTGTTGATATATCTATTATTTTTTTCTTTGTTGTAGGATAAAAACTTTACCAGAAAAAAGGACGCCAAGGCAGTGACTTTAAAAAAAAGTTACCCCCGGATGGTTTTCGAGCAATTGTGAGATGGGGACATAATGAGATTCCAACCAGACAATGGGCTATTAACTTTAGCTCATACCTTGGATGCTTGATACGGAGGAGTGATAATGTGAATCCTTATTACGAGGCTGAGGAGCAGCCATTTCATGTCCTGGAGAGTATATATCGAGATTGTTGGGTAAATTCTTCTATTTAGCACAATTATTTTTCAATTCTGTCAATTATTGTCCATGCTTAACTATATTTTAATTTTTAGAGATATTTCAACATCGAAGACAATCCCGTAGGGTGGGAATTTTTATTTGGATACCAGGGAAAGTTCAAGCATTCTCTTCGGGAATGGAAGAAAGATTATGATCATCATACGGGGACTACTTCATTTGCCCAGATTGAGGATCAATTTTGTAGGACAACGGTAAATAAAGTCTTTTAATCTTCTATATATATTCTCTCAGTTTCCTAGAATATTTGATAAATAAAACTAATAAATATATTTTTAAATCTCAGAACGCTCCCTTTATCCCGCTACCAGAACTGCACAGGAGGACGATGGTTCAATTTAAGAAGGGGTACGATGACGATGAGAATAGGAAACAAAAGCTAGAATTGGCCAAGAAAATGCAGGTTAACTAATTATCGTCTGTTTTTTGTTAGGAATTTATTATTTGCACTCGTCTTTTTCGTCATCTTAATTATCATACATGAATTATATAGAACCCTCTAAGTTTAGTGTGTAGGATGTTAGAACTTTTTTGACCCGAAGAACCCTCTAAGTTATGTTAAAATACATACATAAAATAGTTACATGCATACCTAACCATATTCTTTTGGTTAAATACATACATGCATACATAAAATAGTTACAGAACGCTCCCTTCATATTCTTTTCATAACTAACCCCTAATTAGAAAACAACAGTAAGTACACCTTCAAATTACATCCACTATTGTTTCTGATGAATATATAGAAAGGCTAAAAACTAGCCATTCCCAAACATCATAGAAATGATGTTTATAGAAAAATTGGTATTTTCAATACTAAATTCCTCAATAAACATTATTATATGTGTGAATGTGTTAAGGAAGATGCATGCATACTTCATCTTTTATTTTACTTGTTCAGGTAAATATATCTTTTATTTTTAAAAGGTTAATTCTTAAATTTATTTTTTTTGTCTTTTAGGAAGCTCTGGAAAACACATATTCTGAGGTTGTTGCACAGAGCCAAGAGCCCCTGACTAGAGAGCAGAATTATAATGTGAGCCATTTAGTTTGTGGACTTCCCAAAAAGGGGAGGACCAGGTGGATGGGAGTTGGAGCTCAGAGGGTGTCTACACAATTCCAGTCTCCGCCGATTTCAACACAATCGACTATGCCCTCGGGGCCCTCTTACATGCCGCAGGAGGATTGCACTTAGCAGGCGATGCAGCTTGTATCCTCTGTGATGAATATGTTAGATGGTCAGATTCCCGAGGAGATGTGGGAGGATATTCAAGAGGAGCTTATGCGAGTGATCCAACCTACTGCTACTTTTGCGATGGTTTCCAGGCAAATAATGAAATCTTGTAGAAGGCGGGTTCCTACTCGGGTGCAAAGCCAGATTATGAACTTCTTGGCCACTCAAAAGGCATTTACTGGTAGTGGAGAGAGTAGCAGACAGGTATACTTATTATATATGTAAAACATGATTACACACAATATTATGTGATTCTAAATTTAAATTTTTTTTTTGTTAGATTGGAGATGATACTATTGGGAGCACGAGTCGTAGGGATGGATCCGCCAGTGGAAACGCGGACGATGACATGGATAGAGCGGATGACCTATCATAGTGAGTTATATCCTAAACTCGTGTTTGTATATTGGACATCTTTATATTGGGCATTATGATATGCGTTGTATGGTTCTGTTGTGTTTGGGAAATTTTTGTGGATTAAACATATGATAGATTGTGTACAGGTTTGTTATGGGAATTTTCCGTGATTTAGAACTTATGATATGCTGTGTATGATTTTGTTGTGAAATTTTGTGGATATATTCCGAGATGTTTTCGTGAAAATGAATGAACATTTGTGGAAATTGAATGAAACATATTCGAATATTTGTGAAAATTTGAGTTGAATGAGGGGATGTTGTTGGAATTTTGGATTGTATGATCATTTCGAGATGTTTTGGAATGTGTAGAGAAATGTCGTTGGTTTGGCTAGATTTGTATGTACAGGGAACTGATTACAATCAGCTAAATTTTTATTTAGACCTGCTAATGACTATTCGACCTGACGGGGAACCGTTAGCCATAGTTATCGCTGACGGCATTCCCGTCAGCGATGTTATATACATCGCTGACGGGAATCCCGTCAGCGATAACTATCGCTGACGGGTTTCCCGTCAGCGATGTATATACATCGCTGACGGGTTTCCCATCAGCGATAGTTATCGCTGACGGCATCCCCGTCAGCGATTGTTTGTACAGTGCTGACGAAAAGCCGTCAGCAACAAACATCACTGACGGATTCCCGTCAGTGATGTACTATACATCACTGACGGGATTCCCGTCAGCGATGTTTCATTATAACTGACGGCATTTGCCGTCAACATTGTTGCCGTCAGTAATAATCATTACTGACGGCGCCCCGTCAGTGATAGTTCTTCCCTGACGGGACTATTGCTGACGGCATATCCTTGACGGGCTGCCGTCAAGGATACTTAACGCCGACGGGATTTTAAGCATTCCTGACGGGAATGCCCGTCAACGATACCTGGTTTTCTACTAGTGGATATTATCGTTGAAGCGCAATCCATCCAACCTCCAACTTGTTGTTTGCCTAGAATAAATACAAAAACGCAAACACTAGACAAACAACATTAGAAGTAAATTATTTGTTAAACATCATCAAAACAAGAAGGCCAACACCTCTTTGTCCTATTATCTCATATGTCATAGGAATTATCTTCATTGATAAGGCACTCTAGACGTAGGAACTAGTGTGAATCTTTTTTCTTATTCAATCTATCAACAAGTAAGTGTAAGTGAATTAAAACCAACCAGATATTCTATCTAGTTAGCTGATAGATTTGTAAAGATACTCAAAGAAGAGATTGAGGATATTCTATCAATGTTGTGGAGTTTATTTTTTCTGTTAATTTCTTAGTCTTAGAAATGCAGTGTATTTTCAATCCCAACCAGATGTTCTATCCAATTAGCTGATAGATTTGTAAAGATACTCAAAGGAGAGATTGAGGATATTCTATCAATGTTGTGGAGTTTATTTTTCCTATTAATTTCTTAGTCTTAACTTTATTGATGTAAGTTTTTAGAAGATCATTAATGAAGAAATCAGGTTTTCTGATGAAGAACTTAAATTTCTAAGAAAGATGGACCAATCAGCTTATCATGTCTCAATCAGGAACCCTAGTTTAGATGAGATTTATAGTACTGTGATTGAGTTCTTTGAGAAATTAGAATAATGCTCTAATCTTTGGTCTAATTCTGAACCCAGCATTCCATTAGTGGAAATACATGTCAACGGCATACACACTGATTTTGGTTTAATTGATTAGCCTATACCAACCTACCAAAAAATACTATGAAAATTACTGAAAACCCCGAGAAGAACAAAATCTAAGCAATATAATAAAGTTTATCATTTCACACTTCTTTAAAATCTGAGATATAATTTTCAACAATAAGGTAGGATTTGATATAGGATTTGAGCTTTTCATTTTAAAAATTTTATTCTACATCTTTACTCTTTATCGCATAATAATAAAAAAAGAATTTATTCTTCTCTCATTTCATAGTTTCTTATTCTATAAAAAAAAGAAAAAAGGAGAAAAAATGAAAAAAAAGAAACAAAGAAAAAAGAGAGAATTTTTTTGGCTACATTCTCCATATACCAAAAGTAATTGACCATTTTTATCATTTTATTATTATTTAAGGTTGACCGAACAAATATAAGTGCTTCATTTTCTATATGCTTTTTTTTATGCATTATATAGTTTGCATTGAGGACAATCGGAGATTTAGGTGTAGGGGTGGTGACTAATCATATTTTCTCTCTATTTTATCCTTTTTGTTTCCCTATCTTTGCTTTTCTTTTCTTTTACCCTTTCTTTTCTTTCCCTTAAAAAAATGAAGCTTAAACTTAGGATAAATCTGAATGAAGCTTAAACTTTCGAATTCTTAGTTAGTTTTATACTCAAGTTAGCCTTTTATGATAAATCTGAAAAAAAAAAATTTAAATAATTTTCAGAGTGTTATATCTTGCTATAGCTCTAACTTATGATTTTATTTAATATAATATAAAGTAAAACTAAATGTACATGAAGAATTATTTTCTTACGAAATTAGAGCAGGGAGGTTATGATATATTTTGCCATGTACTTTAAATATAAAAAATTCTTTGATGCAAGGTCCCTATCAAATCTTATCCCAAACAATGTGAATGGAAAATGCTATTATAACTCACTTGCATGGAGTAATTATATTGTATATATGACATATACAATAGTCTCATGTATTTTCTGGTTCTAACTACAAAATATGCAAGAGTGGTAGTCCGTATATTTTCTGACTTTAATTACTTTTGTAATTAATGTTCTCTAAATGCACGGGACTATTAATCTTGTGTATTTTAAAGATGATTTTTTTTTTACAAAATCGACCTCTTTTTTGCAGTCTTGATGGTGTGGAATAAAGAGGTCAATTTTGTTAATTATTATGTAAAACAGTCGATTTTTCTAATATTTTTAAAAAGTAATATTAAAAAAAAAATCAATTGTAGCCTTCTTTGATCAACTACATTATAGAGTCGTGCCACTATATAGAGAAAAGAAAAATATCAATTTTAATTTTTTTACTTACACTATGGTAACTAAGTATCATGTGCATATTTTTTGTCCATTATAGTGATTTTTCTCATCTTATCTAGTTTATTATATATTGCAATGTAGTTGATCAATGACTTTACTTTAGCTTCTATTGCAATATTATTTATATAAATTTTTATATTAAGTTTATGATTCCTTCAGTATTTTTAGAATAAAGTAAGAAAATTTATAAATACTTACTAATTTTCTTGTACTTTTCATGAATAATGTTTTTTTAACTAGGACATAATTGTTCAATATGTTCTTCAAGGAGAACTCGGTTAGTGTTTTTTTGCTCGATATGCTTTTTATCAATCTCAATTCAGGTGATTCATGAATGTTTCTGAATTTTGAGTTTATTTCTTTCACTTTTCCATTTGAAATAAAAACAACTTAGTTCTTTTAAAGGATATCTCTAAACTTTCTGATAGTTTTTCCATACATAACTTCTTGTATTTTTTCTTTACTTTATAAATAAATATTATCAACATTAGAGATAAATGTGTATACATTATAATCAATTAATGCTAACCTATTATATCTTAATGTAATAATATCAAACATTTCCTCTTTTATTTACCAAATTTCAGCCTTTTTGTGATTTAAACTTTTGAGGGTGTGTTTTGTAATTTTTAAACCTTGATAGTATTTTATGAAAATTTTAAATTTTAAGTTGGGCACTTATAATTTTCATGTTTCATGTATTGGTGATAAGTTTTTAAATGTTAGAATATTTCTCATAACTCTAAAAATTTGAAGGTATTTTTATAAGGGAAAATTTACAAAATAGACCGCTTTTGCTAAATATTTAGCAAAATCGACTGTTTTGCTAAATATTTAGCAAAATCGATTTTTTTTGGCCAACAGGCTAAAAAGAGGTCGATTTTAAAAAAACGCCTATCAGAAAATATACGGGACTAGTAGTCCCGTATAATTTTAGAGCACTAATCACATATTAGTGCTCACAGAAAATATACGGGACTACTAGTCCCGTATATTTTTTGAACATTATTGAAAATGTACGGGACTAGTAGTCCGGTACATTATGTATACAATGTAATTTTATACATAAGTCTTGATGCATTTTGGAATATGATTCCAACAAATTTTATATGTGAACCGCCTCTAAGCAGTTGAGCGAGAATCTGTAGAGGGGGGGTTGCAGTCGATGGTGCGCGCCATTGCTTCTCCTGCTCAAAACCCACAGCAGAGATTGTCTGTCGTCGAGATCAACGCTCTAAAATTCCGCATGGTTGCTGATCGCTTAATTATCTTGCTGAGTTCTGGAGTTTCATCGGCGGAGCTCTTCAAGCTCTGCCTCTGTCTCGCCAGGTTCAAATGGGTTCTTTCCTCTCATTGTTTTCTTTACTCTTGTTCTAAATTTTCTAGATTTTTAATATTATTTTGATTGGGTTTTTTTGTTGGTTTGATTTTTGATGCAAAACCATTAATGGGTCAAACTTTCAGGCTTTTCCCTGTAGAACGAAAACATTCTTCCACTGATTACCTCTTTTTGGCAGGTGCCACTTAAGTTCTAAACCATGGCATTAATGCTCATCATTAACGGCAATAGTGCAGCTGCTAAGTTCCTCATTCGCCTATAATAAACCAAAAAAAATTACATTGTATACACAATGTACGAGACTACTAGTCCCGTATATTTTTTGATAATGTTCAGAAAATATACGGGACTAATAGTCCCGTATATTTTCTGTGAGCACTAATAGGTGATTAGTGCTCTGAAAATATACGGGACTACTACTCTCGTATATTTTCTGATAGTCGTTTTATAAAATCGACATCTTTTTGTCCGACAGGCCAAAAAGAGGTCGATTTTGCTAAATATTTAGCAAAATGATCGATTTTGCTAAATATTTAGCAAAAACGGTTTATTTTGCAAATTTTCCCTTTTTATAATTACTAAAATTTTGGGTTGTTTTTTTTTAAATTTTAAATTTTTAGCAATCTGCTGATAAATTCTAAATTTGATGTGTACCAGTTATAAGTTTTAAAATTTTAAAATTTTTTAATAAATTTTTTACTTTTGAGAGAGTTTTTGTAATTTTTGTACCTTTGAGGTTATTTTTTTACTAATTTTAAATTTATATGTGCCTAATGGTAATCCCTGGAATCTATCTATGTTGTTTCTAAGTTTTGAAATCTCTGAATTTTAGAATGTTTTTTTTTTGTAATTTAAACATGGCTAAATGACACTTATATACCCTATTATTTTGCTCTTGTTAGTTATATACCCTAAGTTACAAAACATAGCAAAAAACACCCTGAGTTGGTAACAGTTTAAATTTAGCTAACGGTGTTAAAAATACATAAAAGGATAATAATGCCCCTCCTTAAGAATTAACCCCCCAACATAGTGAAAGCTCTTATTTTCTATTGTTACCCATATTAAAGAGGAAGAAGAAGTTGGAGGCCACGAAAAGAAGATGATGATGATGATGAAAATAATCTAATTTCCGGGGGGTAATACAGTAAATAATATAATAAATGAGGGTAAGAAGTATTCAAGTTGGTCATAGGTCCAGCACATGAGAATATTCCAGAGAATATTCTCACAGCTGGTTAACAGAAGGTACCAACTTGTAATTTTTTGCCAACTCAGGGTATTTTTTTGCTATATTTTGTAACTTATGGTATATAACTGCTTCAAGAGTGAAACACATATATAGGGTATATAAATGTAATTTAGTCTTTAAACTTTTGAGGTTATTTCTATAAATTTTAAAATGTTGAGGGTGTTAATTACAAGTTTTAAATTTTTAGATATCATGTTTGTTTTTAAGTTTTAAAAAATCAGGTGTTTTGTGTAATTTTAAACTTTTAAGGCTATTATATGCAATTTTTGAAACTTTTGGTTTTTTATAATACTTCATGTATTATAATAGGTTATCTACATATAATTTTTTAATCTTATTTTTTCTATATTTTTGAGTTATAGGTAGTTCATATGGAGTTAATATAGGATATAGTTAGTATTTGGATATGTTAAGATTTAAGTAAAATATTCAAAATAACTTATTTGGCATTAGATAAGATATGATTAAAATTATAATAGATTAGAATAATAATATAATATTCAAAAAAACTATGGGTAATACCGACCATAAAAAGATTTGATCTTTACTT